CAAGTATGCGCATAATCAAGATTTGAATTATACTCCTATGTAGCAAGCTACATTATTTGTCATTATCTTGATATCAAAATGACATCAACAGAATTCTTAATAATTTGATGCCAAAATGATGACAAATAAGCTTGCTACTTGGCTGTCTCTATTGCATAAATTTTCTTGCTAAATTCTTATATTGATTAAATATTATTTTAATAAAAATGCAGAAAGAAATCATTTTTGATGTAACGTTAGTCCATAGTTATGTAGGGCATTTAATAAGAAAAAAATATCAAGTATCTCACCAGGTAAATAGTCTAGCATTGTATAGCACATAGATATTTTTATTTTTTAAAGTCAAATTTTTATATTGTTTTAGAATTACGGTTTCTACAAGATTTAAAATAAGTAAGAAATTAATTTTGTGCATTTTTTAAGGTAATTTTTTTTATTTTTCTTAGATATATGCTACTAACAATTTTATAAATAAACATTAAAAAAAGCATTAGCAAAATCTATTTAAAAAGTAGGTCAGTGTTTTTATTAATGTTCTCAAGATTTAATGTTATTTTTTCTGACGGCTTGGCAAATACTTTGCAGGGAAATTATGCTTTATATGCTTCGCGAATAAAATCGAATGGTTATGCGCGAGAGCAAAATTACGTGCTGCAATCCAGCGTCACGGGTTATGTAACTTCATTCATCGTGCAAGTAAGAGGCGCGATGATGTATTTCGCTTCGAGAATAATATAGCTTTGTGATGGTGTCACGTTTGTTACAATACTATCTGTCGATGTTGCGATACAAGTATAGTAATAGAAAGTTCAATACATCAATGCACTGTACACACTTTGCTATAACATTATAGCAAAGTATGTACAGTGCATTAATGTTGATTCGCACGAATAAACATGCAAATGAGATGTAATTATCTTTGTAGTGAATTAAATGCCTGTTACGTCTTTCGTACAAGTGTAGTTTTTTTCGTTTCCTTTATCTTTGTTTTTTAATTAATTATATAATTATATGTAATGTTTTTTTCGATGATCTTTAACTATCTAATGAGTGGCTTAAAAATCTATTTTTTAATAAACTTTTTATCTTTATTCTGAACAGAAAATTGCAAGTGGCTTTTGCAAATTGCTAGGATATCAAAGTTTTAACTATTACAGAATTTTTTTCGAGATTAAAACAAATGATAATCAGAAAATGCTAATTTTGACGAATTAATATTATATAATATATAATAACTTCATATTAATTTTTGTTAACTTTGCAAAAGAATGTGAGATCCATATTTTTATTCTATTAGAAAAGAATATTTTCATAGCTGATTCTGTATTTTGTTGGGTACATATAATTATCCCAATAGCTATGCTATATAGTATATCTATGTAGATTTTATGTATGTTTCTTAAAGGTTGTAGAACATTAGATACGTTTAGGAAACGTACATAAAATATATGAACCAATAAGCGCTATCTGAGTATTTGCATGAATTCAATATTTGTTTGTTTCAAAAGTGGAGATCAATTAATCAGAAAATAATTAGAAATTCAGAAACAAAAAAAGTTTGCTTAAATATGGGTCTAGAAGTGCATTGTTTTCAAATTTGTAAGTTTTATGTTGAAATTCAAAATTGTTTTGCATACTATGGGAAAGATTCATAAGGAAGGGAGATGGCTACCACATGAGTTGTCAGAAAATGCCATTTTGAATTGTTTGTCTATCGCGACTTCTTTGCTTGCCAGGCAAAGAAAAAAGTGTTTTTTGTGGCACATCGTGACTGGTGATGAAAAATGGATTTATTTTGATAATCCCAAGCGGAAAAAATCATGGATGGACCTCAGCCAACCATCCGCTTCAACGCTGAAGAGGAATATTCATGGGCATAAGAATTTGCTCTGAATTCGGTGGGATCAGGAGGGTGTGCGGTATTACGAGCTCTTGCGTCCAAATAAAACCGTTACAGCTGATTGCTACAAACAGCAATTATGCCGATTGAGTGAAGAGTTGATGCAAAAAAGATCATCCGTAGCCAACAATCGACGTAAAGTCATTTTGTTGCATGACAACGCTCGACCGCATGTTGTGAAAAGCGTGAAGCAGACACTTTTACAATTTGAATGGGAAATCCTCCCGCATCCAGCGTACTCTCCAGACTTGGCACCGTCGGATTATCATCTCTTCCGATCGATGCAATACGCACTTACGGATACATACTTCTCCAGTTACGAAGAAGTCCAAAAATGTAGATGAATGGATTGCCTCGAAAGATACCGCGTTCTACCGTCGTGGCATTGTTGCCGGAGAGATGGGAAAAAGTAGTAGAAAATGGAGGAAATTACTTTGATTAAGGTATTCGTTTGGAGGACTCGCTAATAAGGACAAAAATATGTTTTATTTTTATCAAAAACATTATTAATATTTTTTATATTAAAGAAATATTATAAGAAAAAGAAATAGTTGGAAAATCGATATTGATTACAAACAGATAAAATTAAAGCTACAATATTTAATAATTAATTCGATAATAAGCAAATTGCCTAAAAGACGCATTAATAGAGACAGTTACCTTATAGGTATATTGGAACACGATCTAATGAAATTTTCTTGACAATATAATTTTTTGCTATTCTGTGTAAAAATTAAGTTAGGGACACATGATATTCTTGGGCTACACTTAGTTAGAGCCTTATAAAAGCTATTGTATCTCATTCCACCTTTATACCGTTTATTCATACATCTTTATACATGTAAAACAAAGATTGAATGATGCAACAGCGCTGATAGCGCGTTCCTCGAACGCAGTTTTGGAAGTTAATATTACGAGAATATTACCACAATATTGCAGAAATACATTTCTGCATTGGATTTTTCGCAGACATTTAATATTGCAACAATATTTATTATTTAATATATTGCAGCGATATTGATATATTATCATGTAATATTATAGCAATTTTGTAATGTTACATCCTGCAATATTACATCACGTGAAGATATAGTCCACATAACTCGCTTAGCATCTCTTGGAAGAGATTAGGACTCTATAGAATAATGAACTTATATTTATATTAACTTTTTTTGTTATTTTTAGGTCCGTAATTATCTACCGGATGATCGAGCTTCAATTTTGAAACATCCTGTATATAAGAAGATTAAATAATATACACAATTTCCTTTTCTAATATATATATATCTGAGATTTTTTGCTAAAATTGGCTTCGGATGTTATATTTTTATTATTTTACTTTATTCCAATAACTACTGAGGATATAGAACTTTTTTAAATTTCTTGACTTTCTGTGAGACACGGTGATAGATTCCTTGAATATTACTGTAGTAATCGATATTTCAGTATTTGCCGATCGTTCTCTAAGCAGTCATCTAATTTAACGTTACATGTAAGAATGTTTAAGATATCTTTCTATCGTTATTCATGATGCAATGCGACTCGACCATGCGATTCCGCTTTGTCGCAATATATTATGAGTAATGGTGAGTAAGTTCTGGTTGAAATGTTGTCTTAACCTTAATCTCTCTCTATATATAACTTTATTTTAATTAGCGACAAGCACGCCTATTGTCACTCCACTCTCATTGCGCCCCACCTTTAATATACATATGTACTAGTGCGAATGTTTCGGAGTAACACGCACTGTTTATAAATTCATTCCTAATACATATATAATAAAAACATTTATCTCTCCTATATATCGATATATATTCATAGTTATAGTTCTTATTTCTAGATCGTTTTAAGTAACATCTTAAGATACTAATACGATTCAAAAATAGTTTATAAAATTTTGTAAGATTACTTACGATGATTTTAAATAAAATAAGAATGCGCCATATGAGATTTTGCGTTGTCATGTAGCAAAATGACTCCGCGACAATTTCCTGTCAAATATTCACGACGCTGTCATTATAGTTTATGTTTCATTTTTTAACAATCCTTATAATTTTCTTTATATAATTTACCTTACTCTAAACATCAATATTATCAACAATTTTAGAATGTGTTGGTAAAATTCTTAATGATAACTGTATTTATAACAATATTATTCGACAAACATATGGACTACAAATGCACGTGGTTATAAAATGTATAATATATAGTATTATACATATATATATATGTATATAGAAGATATAGAAAAAATAAAGTCTGTGATTATACTTCTTTTACATAAGTATTATTCTGTTGCAATATGATTTCAAAATCCTAATAAAAAAGGAAGAGCAATTTTATTCAACATAATCGCTCGATCAAATTAAATAATGTTAATATTTCTATCATATAAATAACATAAAAAAATTTGAATTTGAACTTGAAGTTAAAACACAAATATTTTTTTAAGTAAAAATAAATTCTACCATATTCTTATAATTTTGTTTTTGATACTAATGTTGAAATAAGTATAGTATTCTTTATGCAGGACAAAGCAATTTATTTACTAAAATAAATGTTTGTTTAAAAATAGAAATTTATTTTTTATTTCGTAAGAACTTAATTTTTATTCTTTATTAATAAAAAATAAAATATGTTCTTGATTTGTACGTTTATATAGCTTTAAATAGTCTTGGAGGACAATCGAGAAATTAGAACGAATAAATCAAATAATTACAAAATAAAAAAAAACTGGTTATTGCTAATTAGTTTTTTTTATTCACGAGTATAGACTGAATAATAGTCTCGAAAGAATATATATAATAAATATGGATCAGATAAGCAAGATACAAGTTAATTGCAAGCTGCTTTATCTATATTATCCCTTCTTCCGCTACTACATAGTCATTAAAAATGATAATTTAGTTATCTCCTCCTTCTCTTTTACTTCAAATTGCTTGATCAAACGATAATCATGCGCAGAATATACGGAAAACTGCATAAAAGCAAATGACATTTTTATTCTACGCATGTGCTATAAAAATTAGAATGAGTATTGAGGGGACGTTTGAAAAAGGGGGAGTCTGTAATATATAAAAGCTCGATATGTTACACTTCAGTTTATGTATACTCTTAATTCACTTTTGTCGTACATTCATTCAGATTATTTTGGTGTGGTTTTGTGTGTTAGTCTGTAAGAAAATCTTTGTTTAAAAAATGTTTGCTGCACTCTTTGCTTTTGTGCTCGTGACAGTATATGCTGCGGAAGAACTACGTAAGTAAATAATAGTATTTATAATATATTTATTTCCGTCACGACGTACGTATGCACGTAATATTAATTTTCTACCAAAGGGTGAAAGAAATACACTTGTTTCGAAATTATATTACTTTGTAAGTTCGCGCAGTTTTTATAGTGGTTTTAAGTAACTTAGCAATTTGGTAAATGTCAAAAATTAATAATTAACTATATACATAATTTTCTTTAAGGAAAAATTTATTATTAATTAAATAACGAACAAGAAAATGAGCTATATTTTTTTTCTCACGCAAGTGTTCCATTACACATTTTATATTATTTGTCAAGGATGTGGAATCCTGAAGTAAAAATCAGTTTTAAAGTCTTATACCTTTTATAAGCCATGATAAGCCACTGGCAACTGGAGAAAAAATATATAATAAAATATAATAACAACTTTTTTCAAATGTCACAAAATAATTTATTATAAATATTAAGCCCACTTTAGACGATTTATAATTCACGATCAAGCTTGGAACAGAATTTTATTTATAATTAATAGTTAAAAATAGTTTTTTTTTTGAGAAATTTGACATTTTTTAATAAAAAAGGTTAACGTTATCTTGAAATTTCGATCAGGAGTCATGAATGTATTGTGCATCCCCTATAAAATGCATTTTTTTTAAATTTCAATACCTTACTTTTTAGCCGTATTATAAACGGCTAAAGATAGGAGCTATTTTGAATATGGTGACTCCGGCAGCGTCATATGTGTATGCGGATTAATTTCTTAGGGTCACATTTTGATAACTGTACCTTAATACTTTTATGCACAGAATTATGAGACTAATCTACTGGTGTAATAAAAATACATCGTTACTTAAAAAAATGCAATTAGTAATATGCAACTACATATTTTTCATAAAACAACTCTCTCTCTCCCCTCTTTCTCCCCTTCCCTTTCTTTCTTTCTCGCCCCTCCCCTCTCTCATTCTCTCTCTATGTGTGTGTGTATGCGCGTTGTTGTTGTTTTAAAATGATTTTAGTGTTACCGCATGCGCATATGACGCTGCCGCGATCCTCATATTCGAAATAGCTCTTATTTTTAATCGTTCATAACATGGCTAAAAAGTAAGATATTGAAATAAAAAAAAATGCATTTTATAGGGGATGAACAATACATTCATGACTCCTGATCGAAATTTCAAGATAACGTTAACCTTCTTTATTAAAAAATATCAAATATCGCAAAAAAGCCATTTTTTAAGTATTAAACCTCAATTATCTTGGAAATCTGACGTGCTAGAATTTTTTCGTTTGCGGCATCGTTTTCAGCATTTAAAAATCTATGAGAGACATGTATTCCGGTCCAAAGTAATTGAAAAAAACAATTTTTTTAAAACCAATGTAATTTAACATAAAGTTGTAAGTTAAATAATTTAAAGTTTGTTCTCTCTTCTTACTATATTATATTAAACATTTTTATAAAATTTGAACTCTTTATAGCTTCCTACATTCACGTGTGTGGTCTCAATAATCCCAATTATGGTCAGTGCATCGTGGACAACATCAATAACATAAATAATAAAATTTGCACGGGAATGCCGGAACTTAACGTTCCTCCGCTTGAACCAATAAATATCGACGAATTAGTTATTTATAACACTGACAATCTTAAATTAAGTGTCAAAGAATCGAAAATAACAGGATTCTGTAATTTCGTTATAAATTCTTTACAAGTATCCTCTGATAAGCATCACTTCGACTTAGATGTTACATTCAAACATCTTGATATGGAGTCTGTGTACGATTTTGACATGCATGTATTGGTACCACTTGCTAATAAGGGAATGGTTCACGTTTCTGCAGGTATATAGAATGGTCAATATTATATTAAAATAAAACAATTTATTTAGAGCTATTTACTTTAATACAAAAAATTCAAAATTTGTTTTTATTTCATAAAAATTATCAATCTATGTTTTTTCCGCAGATAACTTAGAAGCGAAAATAATTTTAGACCTTAAAGTGGAAACTAAGAACGGTAAAACGGAAATATATATATCAAAAGTAAAAACTATTCTCGACGTTAAAACGTTCAAATATGTATTTGATGACAGCGAGAAGGATTTGGTTCAACTACATGAAGCTCTTAGTAATGTTGTAAACGAGAACGAAAAGGATATTATCATTAAAGTTAAGCCGGCATTGGAAGAGGCGGTTTCCAAATTGATTATTACAGTTGTTAACAATATATTCCGTAACAGATATGAGCAATTGTTTCCCAACGAAGCATAATGTGAGATTTATTGTCGCAAAGAGTCACTGTATGCATCTATAATACGTCCGATAAAAAAAAGTAAAAATATATTATGTGACATATAATATAATAAATATATAAATTTTTTAAATATATTATAATATATTTCTATTATTAATAATATTTATAAAAATTAGTGACATATTTTACTGGAGTTGAATAATAAATGCAAATATTATTTAGACGTTATCGATAGATTGCTAATGCAATAGCACAGATTTATATTAAAAAGTAGTTAGTTAAATAAAAATATTAAACTGTGTTATCTAATATGTAATAGTTACAAAATTATTAAAGAATTATCATTAAGATCGTGATATTATATTTTATTACATTTATAAGCATAACTCTAAAAAATACTTGAAGTCACTCTCTTACTTAAGTTTCCGTAAACTTATAATTTATATTGTTTATATTATATTAGTATTTACGACGAAAAGAAATTGAAAAAATTGTTTCTTATTTTTACTTATCAAATGAATGTATTATGAAATATAAGCTTTTTACATTATTTGAAATAATACATAAATATTTTGAATCAAATTTCCCTGAATAAAGTTTTAATTTTTATTCTTTATCGATTGTTATAAAATTTCCGATTATTGTAAATACTTCAGAAAATCTTGGAATAAGATTATGAATTTAGAATGAACGAACGACTAGAGGAAGGAAAAGGTCACGAAATTGATGCAAATAACAAATCCTATGTATATTTTAAAAACCGGCTTATCCAGTATTTTTTCAATATAAATATTACCTATAGTTCTAAATTTATCGTACCCATGTAAAATGAAAATTAGTTCTCTTCTGGAATGTTCTCCCACTTACATTTCTTATACGATCATGTGATCAAGTACAAAATATGAAAGCGAATAAAATAGAAGGATGATCTTCATTCTACGCATGTGCATCTGAAGAAAAGTGAGAGTTGAGAGGAAAATATTAAAAATAAAAGGATTTTACAGTATATAGAACTTTGATCGGTTTGAGTGAAACTGTATTCGCAAGTAGATATGTTAAGATCATTCTCGTATAGTTTTAGAGCTACCTCATAGAAAAATGTCCGCAGTACTCTTCATTTTTACGTTCATAATAACGTACGTTACAGCATATCTACGTAAGTAAAAAAAATTATTTGTTACACATTTATTTATATCACACCATACGTATAATTTTTATTATGTAACTTTTTATTATATGCCCGAGAAAAAATGTTTCATATATAATTATATATAATTACACAAAATTATATAAAATTATATATAATTATATGTAAAATTGACATATTTTATATACAATTATATATAATTACATATAAAATATGTCCATATATATAAAACATCTTTTTTTGAGTGACTATTAAAAATTTGTCGTATCTGTATGAAGTTTAAAAATCGTGTCGTGATTATAATATAATAAATATAACATTATTTTTTTTTAATTAGACGATTTATCTTGATAAATAACAAAAATTCTAATTGTAATTTATTAGTGCCAATTGTATAATGATAATTTCATACATAATGATAATAGTGTTATGTATTTGTATCATGGTATCTTAAAAATTATAACACCATAGCAATACATACATAAAAAAAAATTGAATTAAAAAATACTATGAATTAAAGAATAGTCTTCGCATATTTAAACAAGATGACGGTAGCAACTATTAACTTTGTTAAAAGCTTTTTTTCATTGAGCATTTATCTGTAATTTGATACTATACATCTTATATACTTGGCTTACTGTGAACATAGTAAATGGATTCATTTCGCATAATTCCGGAAAAATAGAGTATACTCAAATATGTGAATTACAAAATAGAAATATTGCATAAAAATTCTATGTGACGATTATGAAGGTTTTTATTATCTTGAACAATATTAAGTAAAAATCGACCGAAAAGTATTTAAACATAAATAAGAAAAGAATGCCAAAGGCATTTTCGGTTAAAGCGGGTTTTCCTATGTGAATATACAAATGCAGTTATCAGTTCTAGACTGTGAGCAATTAAGTTAATTGATCATTGATTAAATGATAGTATTATACTAATATCTTAAAAACTTGTAATAATCGCAAAAAATATCACTTCAGCTACTTAAGATGTTAATAGAGCATTATTATTAAATCGAAGATTAATTAATTTAATTCTGAGATTATTATTTCAGTTTATGATTGTGTTTCAAGTCTGATTATTCGAATCGGCGCACATAGAACTTAATTGTATTGATAACTGTATTTGTATGTATATTCACATGCGGATATTATTAAGCACAAAACCTACTTTGATCGAAGATATTCTTTTCTTATTTTATTTTTGGTATTTCGAAGGACAAAAGAGAAATGTGTTTAACACTAAGTATAAGCATATTCAGGCCTATGACGGTCAAAGCTAGATCTTTTTTGCCTAAATAATTCCCATTGAATCATTTATATCCTATATATGTACATGCATATATATCATATTTTTGTAGTTATTCAAACTGCACGCCGGACTTTATCTAACGCAATTAAACTACTGTAATAATATCACAAGTTAAATTAAATTGACAATGTGCTGAAAACCTTAAATAAATTTATTGCGAAAAATATTACCTCGGCCGGGACTTGAACCTGGATCTCTTGTATTCCGTACGAGCGTCCTAAGCCATTAGACCACCGAGGCCGGAAAAATTTCGGCGCGCAGCTTGAATAACTAAAAAATATGATATATATATGCATGTACATATATAGGATACAGATGATTCACTGGGAATTATTTAGGCAAAAAAGATCTAGCTTTGACCGCCATAGGCCTGAATATGCTTATACTTAATGTTTAACTCTTGTCGATCCGAATAAAATCTTAGTATTGTTTGTATTAAATTTGCATTAATACAAATTAAATTCTCTTGTTACCTTATTGGATAGTTTAATAATTAATGTTAAAGGTGAATAATTCAATTTATTAGAAAAAAACTAGTTGGACATTGATTAAATTGCCGAAACATATAAATAAAATTTATTTATTTCTTATTGTGCAAACTTTTCGTTACTGACACCATTTATCGGAAAAGTGCTAAACCAAAATGCGCACAATTACTCAACTTTCCCTTAAGGGCTCATATATGTTCCTCGAACTTGAAAAGTAGTCAAAATGTGATGAGAAATTGTAAGAAAACTATTGGGCTAATTGATTTCATTTTTTTTTATTTTAAAGGTGAACTTTTAAGGAGCATAAAACGTATAAATAAATTTAAAAAATAATTAAAAACATGGCGGCTGCGTCCAGTGGCGTAGAACGTGTTTCTTTTTATCGGGTTAAATGGTGGGCATGATTCAGTTCGTAATTCTTATCTGAAACAAAAATTTAAAATTTTGTATCAATTTTTAGAATCACAGTTCTCGTGTGACGAGAGGAATTTAAGAAAAAAAAAAAAAAACATTACGGAAATGGTCATAATTTGAAAGAAAAGTCGTAATTTTCACAAAAAAAAATTGTTTATTTTTTATTGCTATTCGAAAATGGTTAAATTTAATCAAAAAAGCTCTCGTGACACGATAGTGAATCTAATTTAGAATACGTATGCCAAAAATGAAGTTAATCGGACGAACGGTGAGGCAGTTATCATGCTCACCGCGTTCTGAAAAATGCTATTTCGAGAAAAACGCGTTTAAAGTTTTGCAAGGATAAAATTAAAAATTTTTATGTACGCTTAATCAGCGATGCCTGCACCATAAAGTTGGTCTTCCTCTATAGTATGACCCTCTTCTGACTGCAATCTGCTCTATATTTCGACGACAATACACCGGTAACTGGTTAGAATTCTGACCTGCGGAGCGACCTGACTAGTTTCGTTAAAGCAGTTGTAACTTCGTCAATAATTCGAATATCGAACTCGTTCTGGTCTTAAAATGTTTCTAAGATATGTACCTTTTAAAATAAGCAAAAAAATCGATTTTTTGAAGCTGAGAAACATATGTGAGCCTTTAATTATAAATCTAAAAATTTTACAAATTTACATTTTAAATTCTCTTTTTTGCTCCTTAAAATTACGTTAAAATTTTAATAAAATTTATAAAACGTTGGTAAAATTTTAACTAATGTATATTATAAATTTTATATAATTTAGTAATAAATGTCATAGGCCTTCTACAATAAGCCATTAGTCATAAATTAGAAGTCAGAAGTTAAAAAATGACGACTGTGATTGGTCAAATACTTTTATTAAAAATGTATCACAAATAGGTACAATTGTGTTAATGATATACAATATCTTTAAATATTACAAATATTAGACATGTTACGGATATATATGTAATTGATGTAATGTCCGCTTGTTTATTATATATTTTTAGTATATTTTTGTCGCATCGCGAAAAATGCATAATGTTTTGAAATATAACTTATTGTTACATTAATTGAAACTTGAATAGATAATCTTACCTAATAATTTCCAGATATAATAAACAATATACATTTTTTTTATAGCTCCTTACATTCATCCATGTGGTTGTAAGGATCCAAACTACAATCAGTGTGTTAAAAACAATATTGACAATATAAAAGATAAGATTTGCACAGGGATGCCAGAATTGAACATTCTACCATTAGAGCCATTAACTTTGAAAAACCTAACTATTTTTCACACTGATAATTTGAAGGCTCATATGAGAGAAGTAAAAATATATGGATTTTGTGATTTCGTTGTAAACTCTGTTTATACGGATCCTACCAGGCATCATTTCAATCTTGATTTAAATTTCAAGCGTCTTTATTTGAATGGTACATATGACTTTGATTTACGAGTACTGACACAAATTACTTACGAGGGATTAAGTCAAATTATTATAGGTAAGTAAAATAATCAACGTAAATCTTATATAAATATAAAATGTGAATACTTAATGAAACTTAATTTAAAATAAGAGACTAAAAACTTACATAATTTTTTATAATTAAATATTAAAATCATTAAACTTATTGTAGATAATGTAGATGTAAAAGTAGAATTAGACTTGAAACCGATAACTAAGAATGGCAACAGATACATATATGCATCGAAAATAAGCATGAATATCGACATCAAGGACTTTACATACAAGATTGTAGATGAGGACAAAAAGGAACTAGCTGATTTTTATAAAATAATAGGAGATATCATAGATACTAATAAAGAAAATATTGTGAAGCAAGTTGAACCGCCCATAGAAAAAGAGATCTCCAAAAATGTTATTTCAGTTTTGAACGATGTATTTCGACGTATCAGTTATGAAGAATTATTTCCCGAAAAAACAAGAATTGTCTAGAATTTTATGATTTAATCAGCTTATTTTTTACAAGAATCTTGTAATGTTTGTCATAAATTTTGTCGCAATATTTTAAAATTTGAGCTGCGAGATAACGAAAGAAAACAATTATTATTATTGATATTAAGGAATAGTACACATTAGTATAGATTTTAATAGTATATATAATCTGTATAAGAGAGATCGCAAATATTGGCATAAATTAAGCGTTCCATTTACGTATTTTTGATGAAAGAATGTAAAAGTTTCCACTGCTTCTGCTGCAAAATATTTCTTTTATAACATAAGTACTTTTCCCTACGTTTTATTTCAATTAAATAATTATTACAATAAAAAAAAGAAAATCTAATTCAAGGGTAAATATGTAGATTAGGGGAGCCCCCCCCCCAATGACCTTGACCTTGACATATGTTGTCAAGGTCATGACCCCGAGTGACCCTGAGGAAGTTTTAATTGCAGGACGTTACTCATTAAGAAGTTATAAACAAAAGAAGTTTACGAAATAACTTCTTTTTACTATAGGGGCTTACGACTTTCACCTCCGACTATAACCCCTCCTACTTTAGGGGCACACGATTCTCACCTTCGACTCTCATCCCCCCCTCCCCCTGCTTCAGGGGCGCCCGACTCTCACCTTCGACTCTCACCCCCGTCCCCCCTGCTTCAAGGGCGCCCGACTCTCACCTTCGACTCTCACTCTCTCCTACCCCCTGCTTTAGGGGCGCCCGACTCTTACCTTCGACTCTCACCCCCCTCTGCCCTCTGCTTCAGGGGCGCACGACTCTCACCTTCGATTTTCACCCCCTCTACCCCCTGCTTCAAGGGCGCACAGCTCTTACCTTCTCGTGAAAAGTCGTTGCCTTCCTAAATAGAGAAGGAGACGGGATAAATCTCGTTTCGCGAGATCAGTACATTGATCTTGGATTACAATGTATTGATATACGTTTGTTTTGATTCCTTCAGTCATTGTGAATAGTATCGATCGGTATGTTTCAGTTAATCTCAGTCAGTCAGATTATTTCGACACATGTAAGACGCTTTAGAAACGTTGAAAATGTATTTACATGAATTCATTCATATAACTTACAATTTCGATCATCTGTGATTGAGGGGGGCTGGAAGTCGAAGGTGAGAGTCGGGCGTCCCTGAAGCAGGGGGACGG